ACACGATAAGTAGTCGAAATAATGCTCCGATTTTCGACTTCAGTATCTTGTTCGATTGGAAAGTGAATATCGTTGGTGCATTGGGGAGGTCAAAATTTAAATGTCCCAGTAGTTTTCAAGAGCGCCGGGAAAAACAACATGAAATTTTCAGAGGTTGTTTATATTTGCATTTTCTATACACGATAACATTTTCAAAATATTTTGATTTCTTTTGAACTGTTTAGGGACATTTTCAGTTTCCAATTTTATTAGTTTAAGATTCTGAGTGAAACGATGAATGTATTGATTTTACAATGATGTGTGTTTTTTTTTTTATTTTTTTATTTATTTTTTTTGTGTCTGTGTACACGATAAGTAGTCGAAACAATGCTTCGATTTTCAACTTCAGTATCTTGTTCGATTGGAAAGTGAATATCGTTGGTGCATTGGGGAGGTCAAAATTTAAATTTCCCAGTAGTTTTCAAAAGCGCCGGGAAAAACAAAATAAAAATTAAGGAAAAACGGGAATTTTTACGCAAAATCGGTTTTCCAAAAAATCGATTTTGGTTTTTGGTGTAACTTTAAAACAAATGACCGTAGATACATGAAATTTTCACTGGTTGTTTATATTTGCATTTTCTATAAACGATAACATTTTCAAAATATTTTGATTTATTTTGAACTGTTTAGGGACATTTTCATTTTTCATTTTTTTTTAGTTTTTTTTCTAGAAATATCAATAAAATGTTATTTGTTGGTTAAAAAAACTTGAAAATTTAATAGAAGGCTCCTAGTATATTGTTTCAAAGGCAGATGAAAAATATTAAAAATCGTTAGTCACAGTTTTTTTTTTTAAGCATTTAAAGTTCAAAAATTGACAAAATATGGAAAAATCACGAAAATTAGCAAATTATTTTGAGTTAAGAATTCGTAAAAATTTTTCTTTTTAAATCTAAGATTTGAAAATCTAATAAAAGATTACTCATAAGATTGTCTACCTTTATCAATAAAAAAATTTCTACCGGAAAGTCAAATTAAATTTTTATGAGCGTTTGAAATTCAAATTTTTACAACATTGGATATTCACTCGATTTCTCATGTGGCAATTTCCTTTTTTTGTTGTAATTAAAAAACTAATTACTGTAGATACATGAAAATTTCACTGAATGTTTATATTAGCATTTCCTATACACCATACAATTTTGATAATATTTTGACTCTTTTTGAGCCGTTTACGGACATTTTCAGTTTTCAATTTTTTTAGTTTTTTTTTTCTATAAATATCAATAAAGTTTTATCTGTTGGGCCAAAAAGTGTAAAAATTTAATACAAGGCTCCTGATATATTGTTACAATATCAGTTGAAAAATATTAAAAATACATAGGCACAATTTTTTTTTATAAGCATTTTAACATCGAATTTTGACAGAATTTTTCAAAATCTCGAAAATTATTAATCATCGTAATTAATAAATTATAAAATGTTCAGTTTTTATAGCTAAGGATTGAAAATTTAAAACAAGATTCCACGTAAGTAGTTAAATCTCTTACCGAAAAATCTAAAAAATATACAAACACAGTTTATTTTTATAGTCATTTTATGTTCAAATTTGGACGAAATTACATATTAAAAAAACCTAGTTATTTTGTTGTGATTATATAATATTATTCGTGGGTACCTACTTGAAACTTCTAAAGTGTACTATTATATATATAATATATGATATAGTATCAGAGTTTGTTGTTGGTGTATAACGTGTTATAAGTACCTAATGGATATTGTGATAATGTGATATGATTAATTTGGAATTTATTATAGGTCAATTTTTTTTTAATACCATAGATATGTATATAATATGTCTTGAACCTAGACTTACATACCGTCTTCGCTCAGAATCGTTTTTCTTATACAATGATATTGTATCATTGGATTCAAATTTAATACCATCCATTATACAGTGACCCACTTGTAACCTACTGTACAGCAGAGCGACATCCACTTACCCACCTTTTTTTTTTTATGAATATCAATAAAAATTTATTTGTTGAGTAAAAATACTTGAAAATTTAATACAAGGCTCCTACTATATTGTTTCAAAGACAGATGAAAAATATTAAAAATCGTTAGTCACAGTTTTTTTTTTTAACTATTTAAAGTTCAAAAAATGACAAAATATGGAAAAATCACGAAAATTTGCAAATTATTTCGAGTTAGAAATTCATAAAAACTTTTCTTTTTAGATCTAAGATATGAAAATGTAATACAAGATTCCTTATAAGATTTCCTACATTTATCAAAAAAAAAAATTCTATAAGAAAGTCAAATTAAATTTTTATGAGCGTTTGAAATTCAAATTTTTACAACATTGGATATTCACTCGATTTCTCATGTGGCGATTTCCTTATTTTGTTGTAATTCAAAAACGAATCACTGTAGATACATGAAAATTTCACTGAATGTTTATATTAGCATTTCCTATACACCATACAAATTTGAAAATATTTTGACTCTTTTTGAGCCGTTTACGGACATTTTCAGTTTTAAATTTTTTTAGTTTTTTTTTTTCTATAAATATTAATAAAGTTTTATCTGTTGGGCCAAAAAGTGTGAAAAATTAATACAAGGCTCCTGATATATTGTTACAATATCAATTGAAAAATATTAAAAATATATAGGCACAATTTTTTTTTATAAGCATTTAAAGATCGCATTTTGACAAAATTTATCAAAATCTCGAAAATTATCAACCATCGTAATTAATAAATTATAAAATGTTCAGTTTTTATAGCTAAGGATTGAAAATTTAAAAAAAAGATTCTCATAAATAGTTCATACTGTAGCCAAAAAATCTAAAAAATATATGAGCACAGTTATTTTTTACAGACATTTTAAGTTCAAATTTGGGACGAAATTACATATTACTATTCGTGGGTACTTGAAACTTCTAAAGTATACTATATTATATATCAATGATAGTATCAGGGTTTGTTATTGATGTATAACGTTTTATAAGTACCTAGTGGATATTGTGATATGATTAATTTTTAATTTATTATAGGTCAATTTTTTTTTTAATACCATATAGATATGCATATTATTTGTCTTAAACCTAGACTGACATACCTTCTTCGCTCAGAATCGTTTTTCTTATACAATGATATTTTATCATTGAATTCAAATTTAATACCATCCATTATACAGTGACCCACTTGTAACCTACTGTACAGCAGAGCGACATCCACTTACCCACTTTTTTTTTTTTTTATTATACTTGGCCTGGTGAATCTGGACCCTGTGTCGGTTCGGCCAACGCACGGAGTTTCGTACCCCTGGTTTTATTATACTTTTTTATATTGAATAACGCTATTGCCAATATCACATCCGCCTATTCTACATGATTGTGACAATCTGTTGTGGTATTATTTGAATATCGTTTCCCCTCGAGTCAATAACTGATTAATTGTAAATTCGTTTATCCTTTCGTTTTGACTTTTGATTACTATACCTCCCATGGGCTGTTTGATTATATTGTATTAAAACATAATCGAAGGTTAACTAGATATTTTCTATTTCCAATTGACGTATCTGATAATTACCTATCTACAATGTACTATACTAAATATGTTACCTGCTAGGACTTTAATTGTTAGTTGTTACATAGTAACTCGCTTAGTCGCTTACTACAATGTTCAATGCCATTGTCAACGGATATTCGACATTGCAGGTTGTGTGCCCGGGTCGCCTTTGTCGACCGTACGTAATTTTGGCGCCGCGACATGGGCTCTGCGCCGAAAACACTATATAGCAGAGCTCAGCGTGTAAACCAATTTCTTCCAAACCAAAAAATATAAGTTAGTTCTGATTTCACCAAAACATTATTTATATTATCAAATGAAAGAAAAAAGTCAAAAAATTAATTTTGAGTTTCTCAAATATGCAAATATTTGAAATAACTTTATAATTCAGTTTTATGTGATTTATTTACAATAGCGTAAAGAGTAGGTAAGTACGATAGGCAAATTCTGATTCCATCAAAATGTTGAGCATATAAATACAAACATTTCTAAAAAAAAATTCTACAAACTTAAATTTTTTGTATTTTAAATTCAAAAACACGATTTTTGAAAAAATTGAGCATTTTGAAGTTTTTTGACCATAACTACCAAAATAAGTTCGGCCGGGTTTTTTTAAAAGTACCATCAAATTAGGCATTATAAACACACATTTTGAAAAAAAAAAATTTCCAAAATATTGCTTGGGAGCTACATTGCATTCGTTCCGCAAAATGTTTAATAACATTGGTGTATATTGTATGTGTTTTGTAGAAATATATTTTTCAATATTATGAAAGTCTTTGCATAATACAGGGTGTCCCGTGAGGATTTACTCATTGCGATATCTCCTGCAATAATGGAGATATCTTAATTATGTTTTTTTATTAAGACTCGCAGAGGTAAGCACTACAAAAATTTTATTTTTTAATTAAATTAAATTTTTTAGTAAAAAAGTTAAAAAAATTATTTTTTTATTTTTTTATTTTTGAAAAAATTGAAGATAGCCATTCTATAGAGTATATTTTTGTGAACATTTTAAGCTTTTAACATTTTATTTTCATTAATCTCATGATTTTTAATAATTTTTTTAGTTTCTTAGTAAAACGTCAATAAACTGGTTTTTTGTCTGGGCGGCGAGTCCCCCTCTACGGCTAATGAGTAAATCCTCACGGGACACCCTGTATATCCGTATTATAGAAACAATTGTAAACAGTGCTTGAATTGAGTGTGGTTGGGGGGGGGGGATGATGTTACTCTTCAAAAAAAATATATTTATCTGTACTCCTTTTCTAATTATATCCTAATCTATAAGGCATTCAAAGAGTTATGTATGACATTTTTTTTAATACTTTTGCAACCCCCTACAACTTTTTTCCTCAAATCAAGCACTGCTATTTTTAAAGTAAGAATAACCTTCATTTGGTAAATTAAAAATTTTTTTTGCAGGGTTCTCTGAACTTTAATAGTATGGAGCTTTTTGCATCATATGATACTATTTATCCTGCAGATACTGTAGAATGGTGTCCAATACCAGAATACAGCAATGTATTTGTATGTGGAACTTATAAGCTTGAAGAGGCATCCAAAAAAAAAACTGGTACTATCAATTTATTCTCTTTAGACAGTCAAAACAAGATCAAATTGGTCCAGAGTGTTCCCGAAGATGCTGTGTTGGATTTAAAGTGGAATTCTTTTATTGCTCTTGGTTCTGGAAAAATTTTACTAGCAGCTGCATTGTCTGGCAAGCATGTTAGCATATATCGCTTGGGTGAGGTTTCAATCATTAATAATAAAAAGACAAATGGCTGTTCATCAAATTAATTGTTATATTTTTTAGATGAAAATGGAACTGATTTGTCTTTAAGTTTGTTCACTAGTTTTGATCTTCCAAAAACTGACGGTGAATCTCATATGAGTTTATCAATTGCTTGGTCACGTCCCTATGAAAACGGATCACAAAGTATTGCATTTAGCGACTCATGTGGCTATATTACTTTAGTAAATTTAAACGATCGACTCATACGCAGTTTCAAAGCTCATGGTTTTGAATCATGGATAGTAACTTATAATTATTGGGAACCAAACATTTTATACACTGGTATATTTAATATTAGTATTACAAATTAGTAATTACACTTCTATTTTATTGTTTAGGTTTTGAGTTTATAAATAATTTGTATTTTAGTAGGTACTTAAATAATATTTCGAATTTTAGGTGGTGATGATTGTAAATTTAAGTGTTATGACCAACGTTTACGATTTGACAAACCTGTATTTGAAAATAAAGATCATGAACAAGGAGTAACAACTTGCTCATCCAACAAAATTCGAGAAAATATAATTGTCACAGGAAGGCAAGTTTATTTTTGTAAATAAATATCAATATATTAATGAAATTTATCAAATTTTTAGTTATGATGAAAATATACGGCTGTGGGATATACGCAATATGAAGCATAGTTATAATAGTGTGAAAGTTGATGGTGGAGTTTGGAGATTGAAATGGGAACCCAATAAAGAAGAATATCTTTTAAGTGCTTCAATGTTTAATGCAGCACATATAATAGACACATCATTAGATGTAGCTAATATTTGTCAATCTTTTGGTGAAAAAAACAATAGACTTTACTATGGAGCCGATTGGTGTCATCATGATACCCAATTCGAACATGACACAAAATCAAAAAACAAAAAAGTAATTGCTACATGTTCATTTTATGACCATAGGTTAGATTTATTTTTTGTCAATATGAAATTATAAAAATATATATTATATAAATAAAGTGATTGATAAATATTAATGTATTAATTTTATTCTTTTCTAATGAATTACAGAATATGAAATTTTTTAATATATATATGTATATAAGTTATATACTTAAATGGAATATTTTACTTATATTTAATAATGAATACACACAATTTTAATGAAACAAAACATAACATAAGAATTTAGAATTATTATTACAAAATACAAAATTCATCTACAAAAATTCATCACACCATGCTTTTAAGCAAGCATGACAATCTTTGGATTGTTTTGAGTTAGCTTTTATGCTATCTTTTAACCAGTCACAGAATAACTCTTGATCCATCTGCAAAAGAAGAAATTGACCCAATACATTGTAAGCCTAAAACAAAATAAATAAATAATAATAATAAGATAAGGTAAATTAATAAGACTTTTTTTACATTATTGTAAACTGTAGGTAGGTCTAGGTACGTAATTGTGTAATATTAATCAGTATGTAAAATATGTTTTAATCACGGTTATCCTAAGAGAAGATAACCACGGTTTTAACGATGCGCCAATAATTTATAAAATATTAGAATTTATGAAAATTTAAAAAAAAATGGTCTTGGATTTACTTACTTTGTTGAATCCTTGTTCTTTTAATCTGTTTGCTAGTACAGGTCCAATACCAGCGAGATCTTCAACTGGTTTGTCTCGCATAGGCTCTCCAGAAAAGGCTTTGTGTTTTTGGCTGGTTGTGGATGATGGAGTAGTCATGATTATGATTTATTTTGCAATCTGAGAAAAAATTAACGTACTAATAATGATCAAAAGCTATATTCTCACCAAACTGTGAAGTATGAATTATGCATTGCTTATAGAATTTACTTTTAATTGAAAGAAAAAAATAGTTTTGAATTTAAGTGCACAAGTTTCAATGTTTCATAGAAGAGATTAAATAATAAATATTACTATATTAGGTAGGCAGACTAATAAGATAAAATCAAATGTATATAATATCCGCAAACATACAACAAATTTTTAATTGTTATGGAGTCAAATTGACAAAAAGTAAGCAAGTAAAAATTACTACATAATTTTGGAATTTGGTTACAAATCGTTTTTTTTTTTTTTAAATCGATATCAAATTAATTAATTGAATCAACTGACACAAACAACGTATTACCAGGAATCAGTATAAAAAAAATTGAAGTTTGCAAATAATTAATTTAAAACAAATAACATTCATATTATACATAAATAAATGTCTTGTTGTCCATGAATATGTGAATTATGTCAATGGAAATATAAATTGTAATAAGCAGTACTACTTACATATTATAAATTAAGTAAAGTGTACAGTAATTGGTTATTCCAATTAAAAAAAATATTCGTTGAGTAAATAGTTAACGATAATATTATTACATTTTATAGTTTATACGTTTATCACGGCTTTACCAATTTTTAATATTATATAATCGTTGAAAACAGGGACATCTGACATATACGTTGTACGTCGTAATATTATTCGTTCTCGTTGTATCCATGACAAAAATTTTTTGTCATGGTTGTATCGTTTAATGTATACTCGTAAGTCGTAATATTATAATATTGTATTATATTATTATGAATTATTATTTTAGAACATAAGTCATAAATACTAAAATACATAATTTAGATATTAGGTATTTAAAAAAAGTAGGTGCTTGAGCCTTGAATACTTGATTATCGGTTCGAGAAGTGGGGACCATAAATTAGTATATTTCGGAGGTTGTCGTCTGCCGGTTGGACATAATACACGCCTGGTGCAAACAAGTGGTTCACCATAATTATGAAAAAATTACAAAGACGTTATAAACTCATGAATCTTCACTTCTTATATATTATATATGAAATGTCCTTGAATTGTTCAAAGCACATAACCTACAAATTCCGAGACCAGAATTGCTATATTCAAAAAAATTATTTTTTTTGAGGATTTCAAATTGCTTGAAGTCCTCGTAGACTGTAGTGCTTACTGCATAATTAACATTAATGTGTGTTCGATGTACATTTAGTTCATTGTTTTACAATTTGGAGGTAAGTACAGTTTGTCTGTTGTGTAAATTTAATAACTAAAACAAATCTGTGTTAACTTAACTCAAGTTAACAAAAATCTAGGTCTTAACTTAAACCAGTATGTTTTACATGGGTAAAAATTTTTTTTTTCTAAGTCAAGATGTATATGTTATTTTAGATTATGCGCAAATAACTTTGATTGTGAATATATTACGTCGTCAAATTACCTACATATATAATGAAAGACAAAGAGAGACCACCTATATTAAATGTTCAACATCGTATAGTGGAAACAGTCGGACCATGGATATTAAGACATTTATCAGGTTCAACTGTTCAAGATAAATGTTTAACTAATGGTGAAGAGGTAGAAGATACAAACGAATCATTCATCGATGAAGAAACTGAATCGGATACAATTTATCTAAAAACTTTAGATCCTAAGGAATGGAAAGATCAAGATCATTATCAGTAATTATAAAATATATATTTAGTAGTATACAGTCATAATCATTACAAATTTATACAATATACTGTACTGTACATTTATTATGAACAATAATTATGATATAAATATCAGGACCTAAGAATATACAAAACTTTTAGTAGTGTGATGAATAAATCTACTGTTCCATGTTTCATGCAAGGTTTTAAATATCATACAATTAGTATGGATACAATTTCTGTTTGATACATCTTGATTTTTACTTATCCATTATTTTGCTATACCCAATAGTGATGAAAAAAACAGCTTAAATATCTAATTTATTAATATTTTTTATTTAAAATTCATTACATTACTTTAGCTAAGCTTCTAAAATACACTTTAGTCTTAAACTTTCAATAACAATTTTTCTACTACATGGTAGTGTCTACTGTGCATAAACGTAAATACACCACTACCAATCTATAAATGTAATATAAAAGTAAGCATGTTTACAATTTTTGCAAGGTATCAAGATTAGCTTTTACACTCCCTACTACTATATTTAGTTACTTGTTTTTATTTGGCATTTATCCAGTTTTGTTCATGAACAGATTTTAAAAATTGGTATTCTTATTTATTAGATAAATGTTAAACATGATATCTGAAAAGGTTGAATTCAAATCTGACATAAAAATGTCCATTGTACTAACATTTGTTGAAGTATGTAAGTTATTAAAAATTAATATAAAAAACCGGTACAGTTCAAATTAAATTTTCCAATTTTGTTAAATGTTTTTTTTTTCTATAATTATTTAATCTAAATAATTAATTTTTTTTTTTTCTAATGAATTTCAGAGTTTTAGGATTATCAAAATTGCGATATAAAGCCACTGAAGCACAAATCAAAAGTGCTTATAGACGTAGAGTTCTTAATCATCATCCAGATAAAAGAAAAAAGCTTGGTGAGAAAGTTCAAGGAGATGATGATTATTTTACATGCATCACTAAAGCATGGGAAACTCTTGGAAATAAAACTAAAAGGCGTGCTTATGATTCAATTGATCCTAAATTTGACAACAGTATTCCTTCCAAGGAAATGGCAAAAAAATCTGACTTCTTTCAGTTATTTGGACCGGTATTTGTTCGTAATAGTATGTGGTCAGAACAAAGTTCTGTACCACTTTTAGGAGATATAGATAGTAGCCGTGATCATGTTGATCGTTTCTACAATTCTTGGTATGGTTTCAATTCATGGAGAGAATTTTCATATCTTGATGAAGAAGATCGTGAACAGGCCTCAGATCGTGAAGAACGAAGATGGATTGAAAAACAAAATCGGGCAAATCGTACTAAGCTAAAAAAAGAAGAGAGTACTCGTATTAGACAATTAGTTGACCTAGCATATGCCAATGATCCAAGACTTTTAAAATTTAAAAAGGAGGAACAAGAACGCAAAGCAGCTGTGAAACAAGCCAAAAAAGATGCAATTAGACAAAAACAAGAAGAAGAAATTAGACTAAGAGAAGAAGAAGAAGCCAAAGTACAAAAAGAAAAGGATGAACGCGAGGCTGCAGAAAAAGCACAACGAAATGCACTTAAGGCAGAAAAAGAAAGTCAAAAGAAGGCTTTGAAAAAGGAACGTAAACATATACGGGATTTGTGTAAAACAAATAATTACTATATACAACACGGTGATAATGTAATTGAAATAATGTCTGGTGTTGAAAAAATTTGTGATCAACTTTCTGCCATACAACTTAAACAATTGGCTAGTGCCCTCCAAATAGAAGGTCGCAAAGCATTAATAGAAAAACTTAAACAAATGGAATGCAGAGTTGAAATGAATAATGTTATTAAAAATGATATCAAAATTGTTGAAAAAAATAATAATGATTGGGAAACAGATGATGTTCAATTATTGATAAAAGCTGTAAATTTGTTTCCTGCTGGTACAAGCCAACGTTGGGAAGCTGTTGCGAATTTTATCAACCAACATAGTAAAAATGGTGATCGAAATGCCAAACAAGTATTAGCAAAAGCTAAATCTCTTCAAAATACTAACTTCACTGACAATGCTTTAAAATCTGAAATGAATGCCAACGCGTATGATCAATTTGAAAAGGAAAAAAAATGTGAATCACAGATACCTGAAGTAGTTTCAGAACGCCCAGTTGGATGGTCGGCAGACGAGCAAAAATTATTGGAACAAGCTCTTAAAACATATCCAAATGCAGTAAAAGAACGTTGGGATAGAATAGCGGAATGTGTTCCAACCAGAACGAAAAAGGAATGTATGAAAAGATATAAAGAAATCGTTGAAATAGTTAAAGCCAAAAAAGCTGCTCAAGTGTAAAAGTTTATCAACTATTTTAAATACATGTTAACAAAACTTAATAATGTTTTTATTTAATTTTTTTTTGTTTTGTTAATATTTTTGAACAAAATTAAATTTTTAACTCAATATAGTTTTAATGACCATTAATCATTTGACACATACAACTTGTAAAATGTATTCATTTTTATAAGGCGTACCAATTTGTATTAACACTTAAAATATCTAAAATTCAATTCTTTGAGTTTCCTTATATTTTACAGAAAAGATGTTAGATAACAAATTAAATTACTAAATCAGTTCAAAAAATGTATATTATATACATTATGAAGTATAAATATTATTTTTGTATTACTTATGTTCATATTATTACAATCCAAAATAAAAACAGTTGAACATTTTGTGGAGTGGGAAGGAGTTTGTCAATAAAGCAACTATCTGTTAATGTTTGAATGAAATTTTTTTATTATTGATTTTGGATAAAATACTTTAAATACCTACATACCTAAAATATAAAAAAATACACATGTTGTTAATAATAATTAAAATAAAAATAATTCATGATAAAAAAAGTATAAATTATTAAAAAACTTAAATACGACGAATAGTGGTTCTTCCTGTAACCATAATTTGTCCTAAATCTTGTACTTCCTTAAGTGCATCATCTAACATTTCTCTGGTTACTTGAAATGGAAAAGCTGATTTAGCTTCACTTAATAATTTTTGATAGTTAAATATAGTAGACTTAGGTTGGCTTGATATCACTTTTGACAAATATTCTGCAAGGTCGTGGCGTCTTTGTCTTGCAGCAGAACTCAATCCTGTAGTAAGTATTCCAACATCTATTTTGCCTGAAAGAGGATCTGTAGCACTTTGCTTTAGTGCTTCTCGGTATAATCTCCAAGCTTCATCAACATCAGTCATTTCCACGACGTTTGAATATCTCATCTTTGCATGAGC